ACGTGCTGGGTTTTCTCAGCCCCTGGCACCTGTGGTTGATAGAATATCGAAACACACAGCAGCCATGCCCTGCTGAGGGACGCCTGTGCAGCCTCGGTGAAAGGAAGTAGCCGTTTCTAGAGTGGATATAATTTCCCCTCCATCAGCATTAACCGTGTCCTTTGAAGTTCCTCGTAAAAACTGTGTGCTAGCCCAGAGAACACCCTGAAACGACCTGAAGGGAAACGGGTTGAACGAACTATATATTCTAGGCCAGAGTGAAATGATCCACCATTTGAAGCCGGAGCTGGGCAGAACACGGGCACAGGTTCATGGATCAGCAGAAGCTGTTTTGGCAGCTCGTAAAAAGGTGAGGGAGCTGGAGTTTTGTAATAAATCCTTCTGCTGAGCCCACAATACGTGCGGTTATTGCGGACATTGGAAAAATAAATGCTTTTTAAGTAATGTCCGGCTCCAGATTCCGAAGTGGTGTCTGAGAGTTGAAAATGAAGAAAGAATAAAAACCTTTGCAAGATTGTTGATACTTCCACGTGCAGCTGCACTCACCACCACCCTCACAAGACACCTTGAATGGATGTGATGCTATTTCTTCCAGTCCCTCGAGTCATTTCCACCCTGCTTCCCAGCGCAGCTGGTCTGGTAGGACTGGCTTGGTCGGAGGGGGTAGAAGTGGGGGCTGTTGGAAGGTGGAACCTGCATCTTGGTCCAGGCTGGAGTTCGGCTGCACTCTGCACCTTCCAAAGGCGTGATCGCGTGATCCAAAATAAAAATGCACCTCCAAAATGATAGCACACCTACTGACTTTTTTTTTTTCCTGTACCAGGGATTGAACCTAGGGCCTTAGTGCATGCTAGGCAATCACTCTGCCACTTGAGCCATGCCTCCCAACCCCAGCCTCCAGAGTTTTTATGTGTGTGTGTGTGTATGTGTGGTACTAGGACTTGAACTCAGGGCCTACCCCTTGAATCACTCCACCAGCCCTTTTTTTGTGTGTTGGTTTTTTTGAGATAGGGTCTCGCAGACTGTTTGCCCAGGCTGGCTTCAAACCACGATCATTCTGATCTCTGCCTCCTGAATAGCCGGGATTACAGGCGTGGGACAGCTGTCGGCACAATGCCAGGGCTCAGTGTTGTCATTACCTTTTGAAATCTCGGGAAAACTAAGAGCGGCTCTCGAAATTAAAGGTGAGGGCAGCCATTGTGATTACCGTCAATATTTTGGTGAGTTCCACGGTTGCTTAGGAACCAGCGTTAAACTGACCCACAGATGGGAAACTTGAAATTCATTTCCAGCAACCGAGAAGGCACCTTCCTACTTAAATGTGACTCGGGTTTCTTGTTATGAGTGACTTGAAATCTTTTGGAGATAAGACATTGTTTCCTAGATATTAAGAATCCTGGTGAGTGTTCAGAGCCATTCACTGTCTGTGAAGGTATCCAGAGAAACCGGTTGCCATGGCTCATGCCTGTAATCCCAGTTACCTGGGAGGTGGAGATACCAGGATCACTGTTCCTGGCCAGCCTGTGCAAAAAAAAAATCTAGTGAGACCCCATTTCAACAAGCCATGCATGGTGGGGTACTTCTGCAATCCCAGCTATGTGAGAGGCATAGTACAAGGATCACAGTTCAATGCTGGCTCTGGCAAAAAGCACAAGACCCTATCAGAAAAATAACTATAAAGCACCTGGGTTGCCGGTGGCTCACACCTGTAATCCTAGCTACTCAGGAGGCAGAGATCAGGGGGCTCGTGGTTCAAAGCCAGCCCTAGCAAATAGTTCACGAGACCCTGTCTCAAAAAACAATCACCAAACAGGGCTGGTGGAGTGGCTCAAGTGGTAGAGCGCCTGCCTGTCAAGTATGAGGCCCTGAGTTCAAACCCCAGTGCCGCCAGGAAAAAAAAAAAAAAGAAGAAAGAAAAGAGCAAAATATAAAAGAAAAGTTGAGTGATATGGAGGACAGAGGTGGATACGCCAACCATATACAAATAGTGAGAGAGCTCCAAAGTGGAAAGCACTTGAATGAGAGTTCAGGCAAAGTTAAAGAAAGATGAAAGAACTCTTTGAGGACCAAACTGGTGAGAGTAGAAAAAGTCTCACTGGATCCACTCGGAGACTCGACTCCCTCAGGCCTGCACCGTCCCATCCTCCCCGCAGAATCTGCAGCCAGTTCTGCACGTGTGCTGGAGAGAGAAGCTGGGTCTTGTCAACCCTCTTTTCCCTGCAAACATTATTTTTGGTACTTAGCAGCCATGTGGTCCCGCCCTACATCTGTAGCACTGGCAAGACATACAGGAAGCATGTCCGCATCTGTGGTGCCCACCCCGGCCCCAGAAAACTTGACAAAGCAATGAGTGGATGGATGGTATTAGTAGTGGGGGACGTTGGTCATGTGTCTGGACTTTTTGTTAAGTGCATGATGAGCTGAGCGTGGTGATGCACACCTGTAATCCCAGCATTCTGGAGGGTGAAGTAGTCTACTACCATACCCTGAACATGCCCGATCTCTTCTGAAGGAGATGACTGCAAGTTCAAGACCAGCCGGAGCTACATAGTGAGACCCCATCTCCAAAAAGAAAGTGTGATGAATAACTGACCCCAAGTCCAAAGCTGTTTAAACTTGTAATGAGATGCCGGGCATGATGGCGCATAAAATCTGAGCCATCGGGAGGCAGAAGTAGGAGGATCATCGTCCAAGGCCAGCCCTGCAAAAGCCTGAGACCCTACCTGATGAACGAACTGAACACAAAAGGACTGGGGACATGGCTTAAGTGCTAGAGCCAAGCACAAGGCCCTGAGTTCAGTCCCTTGTAATTAACCCTAAGAAAAGTTGGAAACTTAGTTTCATTTCATACCTGATTTGGTCCTCACACTGAAGCCTTTATCTGCAGCCCTTAAGACGGCAACTCCTTGAGAGCTTGTTTGGAGGTTCTAGCAGGGAAGCGCAGTTACTCGTATACCCTTGACCGAAGAACGGTCCTCCTCTATCAGGGATGGTCGTCCTCTTCGACTGAGCGCGCGGCTTCGGGAGGGACACACATGGAGTGGTGAGGGAGGAAGGGGACACCTGCCCAGCCAGCCAGATCAGCTGAATCAACCCTGGCGATCAATGGGGTGACAGATGTCGCAGCCCTCACATCCAAGACAGCAACTCCTGTGTGTCTCAGTCCCTTGGCACCTTTAGTGACCTTCTTGACCCTTCATAGTTATTAGACTGTCTTTACATAGTTTTCCTCTAGGACCTCAGAGGTTGTGTTTTGGATGACACCAGGGAATGTCTTGTCATTCAAGCTGTCCCCACCCCTCCCCTGCACCCATTGTGTCACAGCAAGAGCCTGGCTGGGTTGTGATCTTATAGAGACACTACCTTCCCCACGAAATCACCCTAAAAATAGCTCCATTTAACTAGGCCATTCTACAACAGGTTCTTTCAGACTTTCCTCGGACCAGTCTGAAAGCCAGCTACTATTTCAGACATACAGTGGGTGTCCAACCTGATCCCAAGGCCCCTGCCACCCCAGGCAGGCTGCTGGGGGTTGATAAGCTGCCCCAGTGTGCAGCTACAGACTAGAAAATCTCCCACATCAAAAACCGACCCACCCAGGGGCCAACTCTCAGAGTTAGGGGAGGGTGGGTGCCATGCACAACACTTACGAGGTCTTGGGTTCAGAGCTCTCATGGTTAGGCCTGTCCTGGTTCCCAGAGCTGTCCAGGGAGTAGACTTGGCAGGACAAGGCACATTTGGGACTCTGGCTTCCAGCTGGACCCAAAGTCCTACAGATACAGGGCCAAGTCCCAGGACTTAGGATCAAGGAGACATGCAGTCTGGCCTTCATAGCACTCATTGTGTTGGGGGTGGACATCAAATGAAAACCTGAGCCAAGCGTGGTACTGCATGTCTGTAATCCCAGCACTCAGGAGGCTGAAGTAGGAAGATCAAGAGTTCCAGGCCAGCCTGGGTTACATAGCAAGGCCCTATCTTAAAAGAAATAAATGAAAAACCTTCCAGCTAGGTTGAGAAGACTGTGCAGTACTCAGGGGCAGAGGGCAGTCCTGCTCGCACAAAGGGAGACCCTTGTCACTTCTAGCCTGGGTGGTTTAGGCTCCTGTGTGTGGTGGATGGCACAGGCCCATGGGGTAAGCCATGGACAAGGCCAGGCAAAGGGCAAGAGCCTTTGACTACTGCGATCAGCCAAGAGCACTCAGGGGCACGTGGACTCAGAGCGACACCACAAGGACAGCCCCAATCCCCAGCCAGGGTCCCCGTGGCTGTCACCTTCCACTCTGCCTCCTGTGGATGTGCCGGAACCTTCCTGGGAAGGCAGCTAGTCTTGGCCTATGGCCTCACAGGGCACCACCAGCCCCTTTCTTAAAGGTGGGCATTGATCTGGTCTCGCAATTCCAGCCCACTATGGGATTCTGGGATTGGCCACCCTTGTGAGCTGGACTCTGCAGACTTCACAGCTCCCAACTCCATCACCATCTGCGCCTCCCTGCAACCAGTGGCTCCCTCTGTCCTAGCAAGGCCTTCACTGCTAAACGTGTTTTCCTAATGTAGCCTTTTCCCAGCTCCTCTCACGCTCAACCTGGCAAACTTCTACTCATCCTTCAAAACCCATCCTGCCTTTCATTTCCTCCGAACCTTCCATGGCTCCCTCCCCAAGGAGAAATGCAGCTCTCCCTCCTCTGTTTTTCCAGAGCACTCTGTTCACACCTCCACTGAAACTCATGGCACAGCACACTGTATTTTGTCTGGTTTGGGCTGTGCCTCCCCAACAAGATTAGGGGGTCCCTCCAGGGAAGCCCTCCCTTGCCCAAACACATGCATATCAAAAGAGCGAATGAAGCCAGCAGGCCTGTCACCTGCTTCATCATAATAAGTAGGGGTGACCCTTTCCCTAGACTGGGGACCCTGCCTCACCCTGAGCCAGAACGCCTGTCCTGTCGGTCACCTCCTGCACCTGCCTTGTTTCTGACTAACCTCTCTCCCTCTCGCCTCCCCAGGGCCGACGAGATCGAAATGATAATGACCGACCTCGAAAGGGCGAACCAGGTGGGACATCCAGAGCCTTTAGGCACCAAAACCCCAAGAGCACACCAGTCCCGGAAGTCGCCTCCCTCTAAGTCAGGAGGTTTTTCTTGTATTTTTTTTTCCTTAACTGCTGCTGACATGGGCACTTTTAATGACAATGTCGTGAGAAGGTGGAAAACATGCGAAGTCCCCAGCACTATTTCCTTGGCAAAGGCTTTGGTGTGACCACAGCATCTCAGACACCTGGGATGCACGTCCACCCAAAGGGCCTCTTTTTTTCCTAATCTGTGGTCCCTGTGACACCCCTTGCACTGCAAGTTACATGGTAGAGATATCTTTGTGACTACCTTGTCACAAGTTGCAGCCACTTGCTATGGAAGGGGCCCAGCTGATGATCCCTCGCAGCTGATGCTGAGCGGACAGACACACCTTTCAGGAAATGCCCAGCGAGGATCTGGCACAACTCAGTCAGATAGGCCTAACTCTCAACTGGCCAGACAGTCCCATCACCCCGAAAGCCCCCTTCTTTGTGCGGGCCTTGCAGAGGATTAAAGCATTCTGCACTGCTGCTCCAAGAAGCAAGAGGCCTCCCCCACTGGGCTTTGTATTGTCAGGAGAAGCAGAGCCAAACAGTGACAGGTGTGTCAGCCCAGAAGGCCATGCACTGTGACCTCCACCACTCAGTTATACAGCTAGGTAGCTGGAAAGTTACGGGGCTTGCCTCTGGTCACCCAGGGAGCCCAGTCCTGGGACGCCATGAGACAAAACTTCCTGCTGCCCACCACCTTCAAGAGTTCCACAGGCATTTACCTTAGTGGCACTGCCATCCCAGATCCGAGCCAGCAAGGGAAATAGCGTCAGCACCCATTTCCTGCCCTATAAAATCAACTCAGAGTCCAACTCGGAGAAGTCAGTTTGCAAATGGGAGGGACAGTGACCGGTGGCTTTGTTTTCCTTGGGAGGGCTTGGCGGGTACAGTGTGCAGTGCTGGTGACCTGAAGTAGTCAGAAGGACCGGCCACTCCGCCAGGGCTTGCTTGGTGCTCTAAGCACACTGTTGCAATCCAGTCACTCAGTCCCCTCAGCGGCCCACTGAGGTCAGTACAGTTAGGATCCCTGTTTTACACATGGGAGACTGAGATCAGAGGTCAGTCTGTTTCAGGACCAGGAAGCCCAAAGCCTGGCTTTAGAGGTCTGTGCCCTCAACCATTGCCCCCAGAAATGAATGGAGAACATCCGTTGACAGGGCCACTCTTCCCAAAAGCAGCCGTGTGTCTGGGCGACCTGTAGTGCTCCTCTGCTTCACTCACGTTGGGGCTTTGAGCCATCTTTCATCTGAATCTGCTGAACCCACTTCTGGCCCCCTTTGTCTTTATTTGGTTTCATGGCTCCACGGGGCAGAGACCCAAAATCAGAGGAGCTATAGGAAGGGGGTGGCCTTGCTATGTCACCTGGTTGCACTTGTAGCTCTCAGATTTCCACCCTCCTCCAAGGCTAGCGGGAGACAGCCTCCCCTCCTCCCGGCTGTCACTTCTGGGTGAGCCTGGCCTGTCCAGCGTCATAGCCGCAGTCTGAATGTCAAGTGCGCGGTCAGGAGCGGACCCTCCCTAAATTCCTAGGACATTGGTAGTGGATGCACCTCTCAGAGGGCTGAGTTCCCTGAGCCACCAGGCAGGGATTGTAAAGACAGGTGACAACTCCAAAGTGACACTCAGTTCAGGTCCTAACTGGCACTTCCTCACTGTGTGGCCTTGACCAGTCTCTCAATCTCTTCCATTTCTTAATCTTAAAAAGAAGGACAGGTGCCGGTCCCTGTATCTATAATCCCAGCTACTCAAGGAGCAAAGATCAGGAGGATCGTGATTTGAAGCCAGCCCAGGCAAATAGTTTGCAAGACCCTTTCTCAAAAAAAAAAAAAAAAAAGAAAGAAATCACAAAAAAGGGCTGGTGGAGTGGCTCAAGGTATAGGCCCTGAGTTCAAACCCCAGTACCACCAAAAAAAAAAAAAAAAAAAAGAAAGCTGAGCCTTGAGGACGTTTTGCTAAGGAAAATGAGCTAGTCACAAAAAGACACGTTAAAGAATTCCACCTAGAGGTGGCATCCAGAGGTTCACGGAGACAGAGTGCCATGGCAGCTGCAGGGCTGGGGGAGGGGCAGTTGTTACACCATGGACATGTCTTGGACTTTGGTGGCACTCCAGTGTGAGAGCAGTGGGCACGCCATGCTGTATGCTCAGTGGCTGTCACAATGGGAAATGTCGTGCTATGTGTATCTTGGCACAATTCAGAACTTCAGGCTTTTTTTTTCCTTCTTTTTGATGGGATGGGGTTTGAACTCAGGGCTTTGTGCTTGCAAAGCAGGCACTGTACCACTTGAGCCACACCTCCAGTTCAGGCTCTTTTTGAAAGGGAGGGAGGGAGGGGATGACGCGGCCAGTCCAGGATCCCTTTACAGGGTGGTTGAGAGGAGTCGGCGTAAGAAGCCTGCAGAAGTCTGTGTAGCCACATTGGCTCCGCAGCTGCCAAAGCACCCCAGGTTTGGTGGGGCAGCTTGGAGCAGCCTGTCCTTAGGAAATGCTGGCTGAGGGGGAGGCGCATGGAATCCTCACCAGGACTCAGCTGAGTTGAAAGCCACCTGTGGCTGCATCAGTAGAAGTAGAGTTTCTAGGATGGAGGAGGGGATGGTTCTATTCATCTTCAGTCATTTTAGACTAGAAGCCACGTGGAAAGAAAACAGTTCCCTGGGGTGCCTCGAGAGTCCACTCCATGCCAAGACAGGAAAGGGAGCCTGACCCCAAAGAACTAGAGGTTTGGGGACATTCCCAGTCTTTGGGGATCTGGAAAGAAAGCAGCACAAAAAGAGTAATTTCAGAAATTTGCAATTAGAAAGGGAAGCAGGGTGTAGTGCACACCTGTAATCCCAGTAATCAGGAGGCAGTGGAAGGAAGATGTGAGTTTGAGACCAGCCTGGGCTACCTAGTAAGACTCTCAAAAAAAAAAAAGTAAAATAAAAGATTAGGAAGGTGACAGTTTAGGGTGGGGACCTTGTGATTTCTGTCCTTGTAGCTCTCAAGGTCAAGAGGACAGCAGGGTCAGACTTTTCCTGAGACAGAGAAGCCTGGCTGTCCACATGGGCCACCCTGATGGGAGCGAGCTCCCTGTCAGCAGAGCCATGCAAGCAGGTGCAGGCCAGGCCTCACCGAGTGTGAGGTGAGACTTGGCGGAGTGGACAGAAGGAGGTATTAAACCAGGTGATAGGACAGAGTCCTTCTGACCCTGAAGTCTAGGGTTCTGTGAAGACGTAGTCTCATGCAAGAGAACAGCTAGGCCAGGAGTGGTGACTCCTGCCTGAAATCCCAGCGACTCGGAAGGCAGAAGCAGGGGGATGACAGTTCAAGGTTCAAGGCCACTTGGGCAAAGGTAGCAAAACCTTGTCTCAAAATAAATTAAATACATTAATAAAAGCAAAAGGATTTGGGTGTGGCTCAACTGGTAGAGTGCTCGCCTAGCGAGCAGGAGGCTCTGGATTCAATCTGCATTGAGAGAGAGAGAGAGAGACCATCTATGTAGGGAAGAGGTAAACCCCAAATTGTCGAAAGTATAAGTCCCAAGGAAAAGATAGAAGGAAAGGGAGTCCGAATCTAAAGGACACCCAGAGAAGTTGGCATTAACCAGGACCTCAAACTTGGGGGAAAGCCCCCTGTCAGGTGGGCATGAGCTGAAGAGTGGGCTGCTAGGAAGGGGTCTGGCCAACACAGGAAGTGGGAGACAGAGATGTCAGCTTTGCATTCTGGAAGGGGATCACTCTGGCTAAACCCTGGAGAACTCATGGGGGTGAAAGAGCAGAAGGCAAGGTGACAGGACAAAGAGGCCATCCCCACGGAGATGGGGTGGACTCAGGCCTGGTGGCAGCAGGGCTGCTCCGAGAGCCACGAGCTGCTGTGGGCTCAGCACACATCTGGAGCCACTGCCCCCCGCCGGGAGCCCCCAGGTGGAGTAATTTGCTAGTCCATTGGCAAATGACATTATTTGTGCTCCAGGTTTATAGTCAGATGTCCTACTGAGACCCGAAGCTCTGCTTTACTGCTACGGTGCTGTGTTTTTGTGGTGGAGGAGCAGAAGAGTAGGCAGCAGCTGTCAATTAGTCCGGGTCTCCTTGACACCTGCGTGTTCAACTTCAGGGCACTCGAATTAATATTCACTGTCTTAACTGGTGACCATGAAGGCCCAGAACCTTTGACACGCCTTGGTGAATAAGAAGCTACAGGTCTGGACTTGGAACCCTGCCTGGGGGCTTCCTTGTATGGGCTGGCCACTGGCCATGCCCCCTCAGTCCCCAGGCCTGCTCCAGAACAGCTCTGATTCAAGTTGCCAGTGGTTTTGTGCCACTCTGGGCAGTGGGGCCCAGAGGAGTTGTTTAAGCCGAGCTGTGCCCCTGTCAACCCGTCTGATGTTTGTGGCACAAGGCTGCCCTAATGGAAGGCCCTTCGGATTGAGGTTAGGGCTGGAAACCGCAGTAACCGTCCCCAGACAGCCAAGGGCAGAGAGAACTCAAGGGCAGACGGAAGTCAGCAACGCGTGCTGTTCTTTGGCAGGGTTTGCGTGTTCAGGTAGCAAGGGACGCCTGGCTTTGCAGTCAGGACACTGAAGATGGAAGAGATCCCCCTCAAGTCTCTGATTTGGGGGGATGGTGAGGGGAGAAGGGAGCCCCAGGTTCAGGGCTCTGCTTCACACCAGGCCCTCCCCCTGGACCTCCACCCCGCCAGGTGCAACTGCCTGTAGTGTAGGCCCGGCCTTTGCCACCCTGTGTCTGTCCCCAGGATGCTCTCCTGTGCATTTTATGAATCAAATAGCTCCCACATGCAGGGCTGTCACCACCTCATGTCACATGCTTTCCTAACACATGGTTTTTTCAGGGCTGGGTTTAGGGACAGCCCCACTGTTGTCCCCAGAGCCCGAGGAGCCCTTGAGGGACTGGGTAGGTCAAGAAGTCCCCATGAACCTTCCTCTAGGACAAGGTGACACTGCAGGCACCTCTCCTGTGACAGTCGGGCCAGCCAGCATTGGATGGCAGGAATTGTCACTTCCACTTCCTGGCCTGATTGGAACAGGAAGAATTCTCTGGGGACACACATAAGGGCCTTAATCACTGATGGCACTGTCACTGTGTCACAGTCCTCGACTTCTGAGACCTGCCTGGCCTTTAGCCATCTTCAACGATGGCTGTTCCCAGTCATGGTGGTCAAGGTTGCTACCAGAAGACAGGCACTGTCCTCATTCTCCCACGCCTTCCTGTACTTCCCCATGTATTATGACACTTTTTTGCTTTTGGGACTTTGCACTTGCAAGGCAGGCGCTCTACTGCTTGAGCCACGCCTCCAGCCCTTTTTGTCCTGGTTATTTTGGAGATGGGGGGTCTCGCATTTTTGGCCCTGGATGGCCTAGACTGTGATTCTACTATTTGTACACTTCCTTCCATAACTGGGATGACAGGCCCACCCAGCTATTTGTTGAGATGGGGTTTCCCGAGCTTTTTACCTGGACTGGCTTCAAACCACAATCCTCCTGATCTCAGATTCCCAAGTAGCTGGGACTACAGGCGTGATCCACTGGCACCCAAGCACTCTCATTTTCTCAGGAAAAAATGGAAGGAAAGTCAGCAGGAGAAGTCTCCCAGGAGAGCCACTCAGGCTCAGATGTGGTCAGCTGAGCCTGAACCTTGAGACAGGTGGCCCCGACCAGCACAGCCCCGGGGGCTTTCTGCCTCAGCTGCCTCTGGCGAGCTAAATTCAGTTATCAGCCACAGAAACCAGTTTGCCCTAACTGTACATTGTGGTCTGTTTCCCTGTCCCCACGTACAGACCCCCCTGGCCCGCTCCTTTTAATTCTGGCTTGTATTGGTAGGTTTTGTGGGGTCTTTGTTGTTGCTGTTATTTGTTTTTTGCGGTACTGGGGCTCTGCCAGCCAAGAGTACACACTCGCCTTTTTAGGTTTTGTTTTTATTTTTTGAGACAGGCTGGCCTGGAACTCTCCATTCTCTTACCTCAGCCTCCCTTGTGCTGGGATTACAGGCAAGTGCCACCTCGCCTGGAATTACATCAACTCAGTACTTGAACTTGGGAAGTGAATGCCAGTGCCAACCCTGGAAAAGTGGCCCATGGCTGGGTGGAGCCTTATTTTTTGATGTGTAGTGCTCGGCCTCCAGGGGATGCCTCATGAACCTGGTGCCCTGGCCTTCCCAGCTCTGGCTATTCCAGAACACTTCACAGCCCACAGTACTGAGGTTTGAACTCAGGGCCTCACACTTGATAGGCAGGCACTCTACTACGAGAGCCACTCCACCAACCCCTTTTCGTATCAGATGTTTTCAAAATAGGGTCTTGAAACCTATTTGCCAGGGCTGGCTTCGAACTGTGATCCTCCTGATTTCTGCCTCCTGAGTAGCTGGATTACGGCGTGGGCACCAGCGCTGGGCTAGGAGGAACTTTCTCTGCAGCTGTAACTGTTGAGCAGTTAGCATGGACCAGAAATCTCCCTCGCCAACCTTGCCACACCAAACACCTTTCCTGGTGTCTGGCTCTAGAGTCTATGTAGAGAGCAGATGATAGGAGGAGATGGTTGAGTGTAGACAGGACAGCCAGCACCTCCTGGGGTAGATTCCTGCCTCATCCAACTAGATTGATCAGCGAGGATCGAGGCAGGCTAACTCCCATTTCCCTTTGAGTTCTCGCTTAGCCATCAGTAGACACGCTGCCACACCACAAAATAAGAATGCACACGGAACAGCTCGGCTCAGCCAGGCTTTCTTCATTGATCTTTTCTGGTAGCAGCCTGTAATTTGCAGAATGCGTAAAGAAGTGGTTTGTCACTCTTCAGTCCTTATGCCTGATGTCTTCCAGTTTTGTCTCAATCATAATTGTAAAACCAGGACAAGTCCATTTACGATAAACCAGTCGTCATGAGCTGTTTACCTGCATGGGTGTGGATCCCCGCCAGGCCTCCGGATAGGCACAATGTGCCCATTCTACAGATGGTTAGATAGAAGCTCACTGAGTTTAGAGAAATGGATGGCTCTGCTTCTTATTCCCTGATGCCCTCTAAGGTGGTGGGCACTGGAGTCACCATCCTCCTCACTGTCTAGGTTTGCAGTAGCCAGTGGCTTTCCCAACCATGAGTTACTGGCAAATGTATGGGAGGATCAGCCATTTCTCCTGCAGCCCCAGCACTGGCCAGGCTGCCCACGTGCCATCGGGCAGACCAGCCCAACTGGTCAAGAATAACCAGTGGTGACATTTGAACACGCTGCCTGGTGAAGGGTTAAATATGCAAAAGTCAGCCCAGCCCTTACAAAAGAAGTGGCCTTTGCATCCGGGCACTTATGGAAATGCTTGTGGGAAGAAAACAGCTCCAACATTGTGCCTGGTTGGGGAAAAGAGAGTGGCCGAAGTGTCTCTAATTCACTGTTTACCCGTGAGAATTACTCCCAGGAGTAAGCCTGCAATAAAATCTCTTCGGTGTATGTGAAAAGAGAGAAATTGAATCAGAAGACTCCATTTTCACTGTATTTATTCAGTCTGGGAAATTCAGTGGGCCGGAGCGTTAGTATCAGCAGGGGATTCCTTGCTCCTAGCGTTAAATTACTGTCATAATCGCTCAATTATTTCTTCCTTGTACTGTTTAAAATAAAAATCCATCACATTCTATGGGGTTTTTTTTCCAAGCATTTATTAGCTTGAGTGTTTAGGAAAATCAATTACAGTCAGTCAGGCATGAATTGATGAATGTTCTTGTAATAATTGTCAGCTGTTAAACCGAATGTACTTTCTCCCTTCGTCCCTTTCCATTTCCCACAGAGGGCAGAGGTGGCACAGAGAGAGGCGGAGACCTTGAGGGAGCAGCTCTCATCGGCCAACCATTCTCTCCAGCTGGCTTCCCAGATCCAGAAGGCGCCAGACGTGGTGGGTAGCCCTCTGTGCCCCGGGCACCTGCACCCTGGCGTTCAGCTGCTCTCCTCTTGGGGCTTTTGGGCTTCGTGTTGGGGTTACCCTTGCTTTTGGTGGAGAGTACTTTCAACAGCTTGGGACCAGAACTTGATTGAGTAGAAGGGAGCATTTTGCACTTCGGGCACAGCTGTCCCTATGGTCCCCACCCAATGCCAGGTGGAGGCTATGAAGACACGATCACAGGGGATGCCTTCCCAGCCCAGCCAGAGGGTGACTGCTGTCATCTGAAATAGGGGTCTTCCCAGAATTCCACAGGGAAGTCGAGGGTTCATTCTTGGCCTGGATGTGCCCTGCCTCCCAGGTTTACAGAATGACTTAGGTAAGCTCCCAGGAAGGGCAAAGACTTTTGGACCTTTTGCCATGTGACTTTTTTTTTTTTTTTTTTTGGTTGGGTGTTTTTCCAGTTAGGGTCTCATGAACTGCTTGCCCGAGTCTGGCTTCAAGCCATAATCCTCCTGATCTCTGCTTCCTGAGTAGCTGGGACTACAGGTGTGAGCCACCAGCGCCACCTGACTTTTTTAGATTCACTAACCCTGCTCATAGCCAGGACCTTCCAGCTTAATGAAGTCAACTTTGAATGCCCAGTCTCCAGACCCCTCAGTGAACTCAGATAACGAGCGGCCCTGGCAACACAGAGCAGCACGATGGCAGAGACATTGGACATTGGAGCCTGGCCCCTGAGTTAAGACCCCAGCTCTGCAGTCTCAGAAAGGGATTTGGGGCAAGTGGCTTAAATTCCTGAGTCTTCATTTCTCCATCTGTAAAAAGGGGGTTTACAGCCAGGCATGGTGATGCATGCCTATAATCCTAGTTGTGTGGGAGGCAGCCATAGGAGGGTCACTGCTCAAGGCAAAAAGTGCCACACCCTATCTGAAAAATAAATTGAAGCCAATAGGGCTGAGGGTGTGCCTCAGTGGTAGAGTGCATGCCTAACAAGCACAGGGCCCTGAGTTCAAACCCCAGTACTGCCAAAAAGAAAAAAGGTGCTTTATCAAGGATTAGAAAGTTGTTAGAAGCAAAGGGTGTTGAGCGAGAGCTAAGAAGACCTGAGTAAACGTCAGTGGTCCCCCTGCCTGTAGTGAGTTCTTTAATGGAGACTCATAGAGCCCTTGCTACATGACTGGCTCACAGTGGACACTGGGGGGATGCTAAGGAACAAGATGGGGCACCTGTTGTAGCACACACCTGTAGTCCCAGCACTGAAGAAGCTAAGGCAAGAGGACTTTACATTGGAGGACAGCCTGAGTTAGATAGTGAGACCCTATCTCAGAAAAAAACAACAAAAAAACTTTGCCTTTGTGATGAGTTCATCTGTCCCTTTGACAGCTGTTACTTCATGGAATCTGAGACGGGGTGTTGTTACTTCTTTATGAAGGTGAGGAGCTGGAGCCCAGTGAGTGTGAACACCAGGCCCCCCAGCACAGACAGTGTCAGCATTAGTCCCCCTTGTAAGAATTCAACCAGACGTAGTGGTGCACATCTGTAATCCCAGCACTCAGGAAGCTGGGGCAGGAGGATCATGAGTTTGAGGCCAGTCTGGACCGCTCAGGAGACCCTATCTCAAAAACTAAACAGTCGCATCCAATACAGCATGATGTAAGCGTTCCAGGAAATAGAAAAAAAAGTTCCCATGGATTCAACCAAAAGGGCCCCTGACCTGAGTTTAAGTGCTCTGGAAATAGCACATGGGCAGAGACAGGAGGAAGCCCTCAGGGCTGGACCAGCAGCCTCCCGGCCTCTGTGGTCGCCCTCGGTGGCAGAGGAAGCCATCCATTCTAACGCATCTACCAGGGCTCCTAAGCCAAGTGTTTGGGTTGAGAAAAATGCTGGCCCCGTCCTGGGCCACAGCAAACATTCCAGAAGGAAATGAGTGTTGTCACAGGTTACAGTAAGTTTCGGGTCTTGGGGCCACCTCCACACTTCACTGTGTCCTAAGTACAATGTTTGCCTAGCGACACTTCAGTCTCCCAGCAGTGGCTCCCCGAGCTGTCCTCTCCCATGCAGGCTGCGAGCCATAGCCCAGGGCCAGCGAGAAAATGGTGTGTTGGGCTTGGCTGGCAGGAACTCAGCTGAGCAACTGTAGGGTCCATAGATGGAGCAAGGCCAAAACCAGCCCCTTGGCCAGCCCCTGCTCTGGGTGTTCAGCCATGCTGGGTCTTCATGGAGACTTTTGTCGTTACTGCCACTGTACAGGTAAGCAAACCAAGGCCCACAGGAGTTGAGTAACTTGGCCAAGATCACAGCTAGGGAATGATCGAGCTTGTTCTGATCCACAGGCCACTGTCCCTCCATCTTCCCTACCGCTGCTTCGTGGGCATTGAGACAGGATCCATGAAGGCTCTCAGGCAATGTTTGCAGACAAATATTAGCTCAGAGATCAGGTACACCACACTTGGTAGGATTGGAAAACAGATCCCTCTGTCAAGTGTGCATGCCTGACAATCCAGCTGGCTTAAGCAACAGGAAGGGGAGGGGGGCACACGGGATAAGGCTCTGACGCCTTCTGGCTCAGTGCTCTGGCCTCAGCAGACAGACCAGCAGGTTGGGAGCCAGGGAACTGGGCGGGGTACCAGCTGTCATCAGTGACCCCTCTGACCTGATGCTCACTTTTCCCTTCAGAGGTGACTCCGCCATAATCACCACCTGCAGCCTCTCAGCTTTTATAACAGTTTTATACTGAGGTGAATACCTGCATGTCAGCTCCTAACCCTGAGTCACCAGGGCCCCAGGAGGACATGCAGGAACACCCTGTGGGTCCTGGGAGCCTGCAGCCTTCCAACCATGCTAGAAAAATGCAAGGGTCACCTGCCAGTGATAGTTTTGGAGGAGGCAGAGCCTGTTGTCATCCTTCCCATTGGAGCCAGGGAGTCCTGTCGGAATCCCAGGTGTGTCCCTGGGCCCTGCCCCAGGCCCCAAACCCACCCCATGTTCTAGGACTCCACATGATTCCACCACAGCTGGGCGAATCCCTGGACAGACGGGAAGGAACCCTGGTCCAACCCTCTGAGTCCCCCGCAGGCATCACATCTGAGTTCATGAGTTCGGTGGCATTTTAACCTCCTGCACCTGCCCCCTGAGGTTTCCGAGGCTGCTGCTTCCTGACTTTGTCCTCTGTGGCAGGGATTTCCTCTCGGATTTGCCCCTATTTTTGAGCTTCCCCCTGTGCGCTGAGTGAGGCTCCTGCGTGATCACCCAGGCTCCGGTCTCTCCCTCCATTGCAGCCCCCTGGCCGTTCCCCGAGCCTTCCTGCGTTTCCTTCTTAGTTCTCACTGTGTCCTGCAAGGGGACCCACCATGCATGAGGTGGGGTGAGCAGGTTTGGGCTATGGGGAAGGAAGCTCCCCCATCCTGCCTCGGGTGCGTTGCGATACATGGTCTCATTTGTTTTAGGCAAGACAGTAATGCTTTGTTGACTGCTCTTTGAGGAATTCGTGGCTGGGGTTCTTAAAAGTCAGGTGATAGGCCCAAGAGCCCATGGCCAAGCCAGACAGGGCCCCAGGAGCTGAGCAATGGCCCTCTCCCTGGTCCTCATCCTGGGTCCAGGACCAGCTCCGAGAGTTGCTACTTTTAGACATGTTATTTGAACAACTTGTCTCTGATCCATTAACTTGAACTTATACTTTGTAAGGTTCAAATCACCTTCAGCTGGTCTTACAGACTCTGCCGTAGAGCCCTGTTGGAGGCTGGTATCCCTCAGGATCCAACATTGGCAAAACAAGTTACGTTAGGTAACACAGTTCAGTGACCACCAGGTCAGTCCCATCACGTGTGTCTTCCCCCAGCTCCGTGTCTTTCCCCAGCCCCTCGCTCTGGAGCCTCCCATGGACAGAGCGGGGCTTTGCAAACTCTGGGGTGACAGACATTTTTGGATTTTAACTGTCCATGCTGTTGCAGACTGGTAATTTTATAAAAGACAGTAAAAATGTCACCAAAATGTCAAATGCCTCTAGAGTTTCTCCCACTGACTCTTCACTCCTGTCTTGCCTTACTGGGCACCAGCTCATGGGGCACACATCAGGCGGGATGGCCTGGACTGGCTGTTCCTTATAGCTAAGCCGGCAGGGGTTCCAGACTGTGTGTCTGTGTGCCAGAGGTCAGAGGGCAGAGCGACTTGTTTTACATCGTACAAATCAAAGGACAAAAGGATATCTCCTTGGCACACAGAATTTTCCAGCCTTAAATGGTAAAGGCCTAAAGTTCCCAGCAGGGAGCTATGAAAACTTGTTTCGCTGGGTGATGGGCTGTTCTCAAATGTGAAAACCCCATGATAAACAGCTCGTGCATGGAAGGACCCGGCTGTGCCTGGCAACTCAGGCCACAGCTGCCACCCTTCCCCACCCCAGTACAGCAAGACCAAGGCACAAAGCAGCACACTTGAAAGATAGCAGCTCTCCACACTGCTTTGTGAGCCACCCCGGGTCTCTGCTATCACAGGCCATGGAGCCCTAGTCGCTGACCCCACTGGTCATGCACAGAAGTACATGTGCCCTACAGAAAAGCCTCCAGAGTCATTTTTAAAACTTTTGTCTTTTTAGACTCGGGTTCTCATATATGATCCTCCTGCCTCTACCTCCTGAGTGCTGGGATTACAGGCGTGTGCACCACCACACTCAGGTCCCACGATTAGCTTTTAAGTGCTTGAGTCATTGCAAAGCAGAATTACTACAGATTTGACATTTTCTTTATTTTAAACACCTTTTCCTCTGTTTTGCATGTTTACACTAAACAGTTGGGGGGTTACAAATGCTTCTAAGCAAAGGAACCTCAAATCGGCATGTTCACATCTTTGAACTCTTGTTTTTTGGAAATGCTGACTTTCGGAATCAATTTGTCAAGCAGTATCCCGGCTTCTAGATAATTTCATAATGAATCCAAGACACTGACTCCTGCAACGGAGCAGAAACTCTGAGAGTACTTCAGCAACATTCTAGGGCCGCCCTCTGAGCCACCTCACTTGCTGTTCCTCTGGTCAGAGTGCTCTTCCCCACCATCGCCCCCTTCAGATCTTTGCTCACGCCACCATCTCAGTGAGACTTTCTGACCGTCTCCCGACTCTGGCCCTACTTTGGTTTTTCTGTAGTGCTGGGCTGTTCCTAGTGAGCATATTCAATGCATCTCACCCACCCTGAACCATCCCTGCTGGCCTGTGAGCCCCATGAAAACAGGGCTTTTACCCTTTTGTTCCTTGCCATTTGCCTGGCACTTGGTGGGTCTTGGAAAATACTTGTCCAGTGAACAAATCCAGGTGGCAGCCAGTCTATGGATGGGAAGCCAGGTGGGCAGGGCACATGGCAGTTTACATCCAAGCAAAGTCAGGAGGTAGCATCCAGCCCTGCAGTTGCCATGCATGTCCTGAAGTCAGTGTGGTTTCTGCCTCAGTTTCCAGCTCAGACAACCCCGAGCACCCACCCCCAAACCAGAGCAGTTCTGTCATTTCTCTGTCCTCCCCAGGAGCAGGCCATAGAGGTGCTGACCCGCTCCAGCCTGGAAGTTGAGTTGGCCGCCAAGGAGAGGGAGATAGCCCAGCTGGTGGAGGACGTGCAGAGACTCCAAGCCAGCCTCACCAAGCTGCGCGAGAACTCGGCCAGCCAGATCTCCCAGCTCGAGCAGCAGCTGAGCGCCAAGAACAGCACGCTCAAAGTAAGGACACACCAGGGGACATGCGTGCGCAAGGGGACCCGTGGGCTGGACATGCGCTCACATCACACACACGCAACACACACACACACTTACTCTGCCTTCCAGGCACTTGCAGCAAGCAACCTTCAACTTCAGGCAGCTCAGAGCCGAGTCCAGGGTCGGGAGACTGACTGGCTCTGAACCGTGCTGTCGCTCCAGTGTGGACAGCATCTCCCTGTTGACTGTCCACCTGCACTGTCTGCCCACTGCACTGTTTCCTCAGCCAAGATCGCTGAAGGCTGAACACCAGTACTCCACCTGGAGCTGCTGGGAGCTCCCAGTGTGGGGCTCGGAGCACTGGTCAAGGTGAAGGCCATCTGCTAGGCCTCCTGGCTTTTGAGGACCCAGCACCCCACCACTTAGGCTCTTCCATGAGAGGATGGCATGGCAGCCCAGCCATTCACTGAGGTACTGTCTCAGACCCCAGCTAAGCATCACTCCTTTGTCCCTTGGGCCTATGTCCCAACCCAGTGGCCTGGATTGTGCCTCAGCTCAGAGAGCCACACTCTGTCCCTCCCATCCCAAATGGACTTACTAGACAACCAAGCAGAAGCCAGGGGCCCTGTGAGCTTTCTCATGAACCTGGAGCCAAACGCACAACGCAGAGCCTTTTGTATACACCGCAGTATTCACAGCTCATTGAATCAGGCGTCATTTGAAGACAGCTCTGGAATACAGCATTGCTACAGGTCAGAGCCACAGGAACTCCTGGGAGGTAGCTTCACTAGCAGGACCAGCTAGGGGCTGGAGGCGCCTGCTCTGCCCGAGGGAGTCTGCTTAAGTCTGCCCTGCCCCAGCCAGAATCTCTTCTGCTTCTGTTCGTGAATGAATGAGTGACTATAACATCTATTGGCTGTATGTGAAGTGGAGAGGGTTGGGTTACTTGTAACAGTGTCATGTCGCCAGCAGCAGTGGTGCCCACCTGGGTCCCAGCTGCTTGGCAGGCTGAGGCAGCCTTGAGCCCAGGAGTTTGAAGTCAGCTGGACAACATAGCAAGATCCCGTTTCAGAATTAAAGAAAGAAAGGAAAACTCTACCGTACAGTTAGACACCATATGCACCTCTTATTCTCTTTTTTTCTTATGTTTACAGACAGGGTCTTGCTCTGTAGCCCAAGTTGGCCTCAGATTCGAAATCCTCCTGCCTTGTCTCCCAGTACTGGGATGATACATGTGAACCACCACACTGGGATGGTGGAGGTTTTTTGTTGCTCTTTGGTTTTTTTATTTGGTTTGGATTTTTAAAAGATTTCCTTCTTGGCACACGACCAAGTTTAACCCAGAACTAAACGTGCAGCAAGTCTGTCACTGACACCAGTGAGGCCCACAGCCCTCCCGTGCCAGTGTCTCCTTTGCCTCCTTGGGGTGGATCTCCTCCAGTTCTCATCGTCTGCCAGTGTCCAGTTCCTCTGAGGAGAAGGCCTGGGCTTGGGGAGAGGGTGGGACCCCAATCACAACCTTTCTTAGCTTGGTGTCACTTCTCCAGCGTTTCTTCCTCTCTGGTCACCTTGCCGCCCTGAGTACCAGGACTCATTCTTTATTTTCAGATCAAATCTGATTTTCTCATGTTGAAGCCATTTCTGACCCTGGCGTGGCACTATTAGATCACGTGCCCCTTTCCCCTTGTTACAGTTAAAGGATGGGACTCAGCACACCCTGCACATGGCTGTGGGGGCCAGGGCTGTAAGCCTTCCATCTTTCACTATGGAGCAATTTCTCCCTAAATCAGTTAAGGTTTTAATGTTTGCCTTCAACGAAAAATGAAACAAAGTTTCACAAATTAATGTTCTTTATCCGTATCTTGGGGGAATTCTTTAATACCATGCGGTTAATGAAACAATTCAGCAATACTTCACCCAAAATCATCACTCCCTCATCTTCATCTGATCTAATAATCAAAACATATCCTCTAGTAACAAGACTTCTCTGATTTTAATTATCTTAACCCCTTGTCGCCAGGAGTAAAGATTTCTCTGCTAGCAAAACCGCACACAAAAGGTCCCAGACTCCCCCCCAAAATGAGCAAATGCACCTCCTGCACCCCAAAGGGATAAGGTTAAGTGAATGAGATGTCTGTCTGCTCGGGGCTTTGGGTTTTTTCCTAGCGTGCATAATTTATAGTCTCAGATCTAAATGACGCAGGGATACAGTTATTAGGAAGCTGTTTTATGAATAAGACCTGTCACGTTGGCAACCTGATGCTGTCGTGCTGAGAACCCTGACCCCACAGCGGAGGCTTCTGGGCCAGTGACAGCTTCATCTTCCTTGAGTCTCCTTCCCCTCACTCTCAGCTTTTTCCTTCTTGGGACATGGTTTCCAACTTCGGGGACTCTAGGAGGCACTCTGGTGGCTAGAATCGGGGTGCCATTTAAAAGGAACTCCATAACTTCTGCTAGACTCACAACTCTTTGGACCTTCCAGGTGGTTTTGCCAGGAGCTGTATATCCTCCATCTGTGAGATAGACAGCTGTGTGTTTGGTGACAGTCACTTGGGGAGAGGACTTCTTTCACAGATGAAGGCTTTGGGAGCAGCATCTTGAGGCCTGGGGTTATTGGGGGTTTTATCCCACCAATACACTGTGACACTGTGTGTAATTGGATGTATCAGGTGACTATTAATTGGGTCGCCCACCCTGCCATGTTGAATCTCCCATGTTTTCCCACCAAGAGGCTGCACGTTTACCAGTCTCTCTTGGCCGGGGTTCCACTCTTCCAAATAAGATCACGGTGACGGTCTCACTGTCCACACTCATGCTGTATCCCTAAGCTTCAAAGAGGGGGTGCGTCTTCCTGCCCGCTCTGACAAGGCTCAGACACGGTGCCAGCCGGGGAGGATAATTCCCTGTTCGTAATTAATGAAATAACCCAACTGCCATGACAAGGCTGCTATTTTTGATAACTCTGTGTTCCATGGTTTTCTGTCGGAACACTCAAATTTAGTGGCAGTATAATTAGGCAGTCACCTGCATTATACTCAGTGTGGCAAAGAAAATAATGCCAGCAATAGCTTCCATTTAAAATGAGTATTTATAAGGAAGGCTAGCTAAAAGAATGCCAGTCTCCCATAGGGAGACATGACACTTTCTAAAGATGCTGTAAGAATCACTGTCCCCACTGGGAAGGTGGGCAGGTGTGTTAGAAGCACCTGAGGGTCTTTTTCTAAGCTGCCCATGCTCCCATCCCCACCCCCACCTCCAGAGGTTCTGATGGGACCCCTTGAGCCAGTGTGACAGTGTGTTGTCACAGTGCTCAGTATGCTGGGGAAGCAAAAACACGTGATAAGCACTTCCTAGACTCACCTGGCCACTTGAGTTGCAGACTCCTTACGTGGGCCTCTGACCCTGCCTCTTGGTTACATGACTTCAGTCACCCAGCGTCATGGATCTGATGGCTGCTGTGGCTTGGCCAGGTTACTCTGTCCTCCATGAGGTTTTCATCGGCAGGTACACTTCTCAGCCTACAAAGCTCTGATGTCCTTGTCCCATCAGGCATGCGCTCACGTGAATAGGAAGTGTGATAGTCGTTCTCCGTGGAGGGCAGGCCTGAGGTGTCCAGCCTATGGTTACAGAGAAGGCTCAGTCCTCTTCTGAACTGTGACCTGCACCGGTCTCTGTTCTACACCCTGCCACCATCGCAACCCAGCGTGCAAATGAGAAGAGAACGTCATCTCTAGAAGGGTACACACAAATTGTGACGCCACACAACCAGGGTCACAGAGCCCAGGGTATGTGGCTGAGACTTGAAAGGCCCAGTAAGTAGATCTGATGAGGAAGGCAAGTGTGGCCCTGGCTCAGGGCGTAGAAGTCCGTCAGCCTGCAGGGTGGTAAGGCCCCAGGGGACAATCTCTGGGAAGCAGTGCAACCTCTACCTCAGAATTGAGGTGACCTCTGGCCAGAGGGGGTCCTGAGGAGGTTCCTGCAAAGTCACTGTAAGCCACTGTCCTATCCTGGTGACAATGAGAGAAACTCACTGAGTTGTCCCTCCTCACCCGTTCATCTGACGTCCCCAGCTTAATAGCACACTTGGCTGACCATGACACACAACGTCCAGGTGGCCTAAGTACTGGCCCAGGTCCCCTTGGGTCTGTGATGGCTCTGCTCTGTGAAGAGTTGACTTCTCTCTACTCCCTACCTGTCACACCTGGTCACAACTCCTGGAAGGTGGCAGTGACCAGTGGCACGTTTGCATTATAGAGGTGCCTGCACCCTGTCTGCTCTGACATCTGTCTGTTGGGTGCCCAGGCCCAGGTGACAGGGAAAAGAGTGGGGCTAGCCTTACTCCCTCACCATCCCAGAAGCACCTGTACAGCACCCACCTGTGTTTGTCGAAGGCCTGGGAATCCTGGGGCTTACTCACCGCCCAGACCCAGTGTCTCTCATCTCCTCCCCCAGGCCCAGTGTCAGCAGAGTCCCTCACATGGGGAGGCTCCTGTTTTCCCCTTTCAGTAGCCTGGACCCCAGAGAGGCCGTGCCAACCATAGTCTGTGCCTCAGACCCTTCCCCAGAGCACGGGTCCAAGTGAGGCCAGAGATCCCACGGCAATACCCACCTGAGTCAGCAGATCTCTGCCAGCCCTGCTAAGAGCCCAGCTCTGCTGCTCTGTAACCCGCTGCCCCATGGTGGCCTCGAAGACACAGCATCAGTCTATGTCCCTCAGGTCCCTGCATCAGTCTGACGTGTCAAACGCCTGCATGTGCAAATACTTGAGATTTTAAGTGAAATCTCCTAACAGTTTAAGTCTTAAGCCAGATCTTCAAGCAGGCGATTCTTGTAATGGTTGAGCACCTCTTAGGTTCTTGGAATCATGGGTGTACAGAGCCCACAGTGTGCCATGGTGGTGGTTAAGGCATTTGTCAGCCTCACACTGTCCTGTGAAACCCCACGTTAGTTCTGTCTTCCGTGTTTCAGACACAGGGCTGTGGTCCCCAGACTTCTGTCACCTCTCTATAAAGCCCCTGTGTGTGTTCCAAGACAAGTACAGGTGTTCCTTCACTTACAGTTGGTCACATCCCAGTAAGCATGGCACGTTGCTGCCTGTCTGGGCTTCTCCTCATGTTCATGGGCTGCCTGGGAGCCACAGCTCACTGCCAAGCCCAGCATCGTGGGGGAGGACCACACTGCAAGTCACCACCCCCAGGAAAAGAGCCAAGTGTGACACTCCAGGCACAGTTTCTACTCAACACCTTTCACCTATGCAACATTGTTAAGTCCAGCCATGGGAGTCAGGACTCACTGTACGTTTTCAAAAAGATAACCCACTCCCCAGAGTAGGCGTCTGTGATGCTAGCCCTGCAGCTGCATCCGCTGTCCTTCAGCATTTAGCCCTAGACCCACTCCAGGATGTGTGCCTCGGGAGCCAGGTGTGGTGGTACACGCCTATAATCCCAGCTCCTTGGGAGGCAGAGACAGGAGAATTGAGAGTTCGAGGCCAGCCCAGGCAAACAGGTAGTGAGAACCTGTTTCAAAAATGAAAAAAAAGGGCTGGGGGCATGGAGTGGAGCTCAACAGATTGCTTGCCTGGGATGCACCAGGCTCTGGGTTCCATACCCTGTTCTGCCAAAAAAGGTGTTGGTGGCTTCTTAATTGAACTGCCCATAGGGAGATGCAGAAATTTCAGTGAAAAGTGTCACACCCAACTATAAAATGCACAGGTTCCAGTTCTATCAAAGACACCCACTTGTCTCCAGACTCAAGGTCAGCAGCCTTCTTGGTGTGCAACAGGCCAGCTCTGTGTCCCTCTCCTGCCTTTCTCCCAGCTCCCTGCCACCCTCAGGATGTGACTGTGTGCGTGTGTGTGTTCACACCCAGCCTCAGCAAGTTCCACTCTCTGCCGTGTGTTTTGCATCCAGCAAGACTGCCAGTAATGCTTTGCGAGGGGGAGGGGCAGGCACATCCGTGCTTCCAGCTGTTCGGCTACAGAGCACAGAATGAAGTAATCGCTTCGTTAGGGGCACCTCCTGAGAATCTCTTGTGAAGAGACGAGGGCCCAATACCCCCCATTTGATTATCAGGCTGAGAAAATCATTATGATACGTAAAGTTGGCAAGAGATTTTAAAGAGGAAGTCGGCAGAGCAATTTTACGTGGTAGAAAATACACAAGAAAATGCCAGCACAGGCAACAAAAAGCGAGTCGTGGGAAGAGGTGACAGGGCACCTGCGCCCTCAGGATGTACGGTAGGTTGGGATTTAGACAAGCATCACGGGTAATGGCCAAGTGGGCCTCCTCCCCAAATTCTACAATGTTCTTAGTGGGCAGAAAGCTGTCGTCAGAGTCCGGCTGGTCAAGCAGAACCTTACAAGACACTAGAAACCCTGGACAGGACGGGTGCTGTTGCCCAGGCCATGGAGTTCCTTCACGTCAAGCCTGGAAACCTTCTGGACTCCCAGGATCCCCGGGGCTTCTTGGCTCACCTCCTTTTGGGAGAGAGGCCAAAGGCCACCAGACAAGAACCTTCATGGAAAAAACCACCCGTGACCAAGCACCCTGTACCAGCAGCAAGAAAACCCAGCAGAACTGTGGGCACAGACAGCCACCCTCACACCCAGCCAGCTCATGGAATGTTCTGGAACACCTCAGAGCATCATCACACCTCAGAAACGTGCTGCCATTTCCCAAGAGGACTGTGGGGCCAGGGAGCCCCTGTCAGGCAGGGCCACCCCCCGCAGGACTCAGGCCAGCTGTGAAAACCTCTGACAACTCGGTGGAATGGCCTCCGCGCCTCATACCCTAACATCCGGGTTCCAGGAGTGCAAATGCTTTCCTTCTCGGGTCTCTTTGGTCCTGCCACTTGACAGCCAAGACCTCGTGTCCCTCCAAAGGTGTTGACAGCCAGCGGTACTTGTCAGGCGGCCACACGCTGCCTTTGATATGCTGGGAGTGTGTCTCTGCTTTGGTTCACAGTTTCCTGGTGTCTCACACAAAGGAAAATCTTCCTCATTTCGTGTTCCACTTTCGTAAAGCTTTTTACTTCCCTAGTCATTGAGTTTTGCATGAAAACTTCAGGTTGCCATGTGCATGTACACACACGAGTGTGCACTCACCCCAGGCTTGGCCAGGCCAGAGGAGAAAAGGAGAAAATCAGTGCTGACACTGTCGGCTTCCTGTGTGTAGGGTTGCATCCTCACTTAAGGCCGGCTGTGTGGTCACAATCAATGTCACCAGTAAAGTCCTATGTCTGCTTTCAGACGTGACCACTAATAAAAGTCCTTCTGTTTTCAGCAACTGGAAGAAAAACTCAAGGGCCAGGCTGACTATGAAGAACTGAAGAAAGAGCTGAAGTAAGTATGCAGACGCCTGTGGCCCTTCCACTGGGCCCACTGGGACTGTATCCTGACAGATGCTGGGCTGTGCTGGGCAGCTGGTAACTCCTGGCTCTCAGTCTCAGCAGCTGCTGTAACTTCACCCTGGACTCTGCTTCTGCTGAGTCCTGCACTTGCCAGTGCTGTGAGTGTTCACCTCGGGCCTTTCCCAGAGTTCTTGAGACTTTTTATAACACTTTGTGCATTTAAAGTATTCCAGCATGCCAGGTGTGGTGGCACACACCTGTAATCCCAGTCCTTGAGAAGTGGAGGCAGGAGGACCAAGAATTCAAGGCCAGCTTGAACTTTTTTGAGACTGTTTCAGAAAAGAAAAAAAACATAAATGTTCCAACTTACACAAAATCAGGGGAAATATTTCCCTTACAGAAATCATAAATAGAGCCTGGTTTTTTAGGTGTAAATTCCCCCCAGGCAGAAAGAGGAGGGAGATGTTTTCTGATTGAGAGCTTCCCTGGCCTCATACCCCCAGAGCTCCTGCCCTCAGTCCTCCTTTTCCTAGACCCCAAGCCCCTCTGGGAGGTCACAGCTGGAAGCTGGTCACCCTCCAGCTAACCCTACATTTCCACATGGGTACAAGTTCCCTTCTCACGGCCCTTGGCTCCCTCTTGGCTCCTCCTACCTCCAGCTTTTCCCTGAGCCTGCCCTTGCCCTCTGGAGCTCCAAGGCCCTGGCCTCTACCTTCTCCCACCCCTGCCCCCAGTCCATGCCACTGCCCCTCACTGGTCCCCTCCACCAGCCTGGGGCCCAAGGCCAGCCCTTCCATGGAGCACCTAGCTCCTGTGACCTTCTGCCTGGATGTCCCCAGCCACCCCTTGGCTTTGCCCCACCCTGTCCCCTGGTTATCTAGCACTGTAAGAGAAGTAACTGCAGTGTGTTGGCTGACCCCTGCAAGTGCCATACCCCTTGTGTCACAAGGGTGCATGACACAACGGGGCTTTACCCCGACTGCCCCCATCTTGCAGATGACCTAGTCCTTTGCTTTCTGGAAGGATGGGCTCCTGTCCTGTTCACTTTACCTAGAATCCCTCCTTCTGGTCATGGGCTGCACCTCCTGTCTGTCTAGGAGATCCCTCCACCTGGGCCTAGGTCTCCTTCTGCCACCACCTTCTCTCATGGATATTTTCAGTTTCTCTTTTTCAGGACGAGCCTGCCCCACTGCCATGTTCTTTCTATTAATCCTGTTCTCTTTGACCCACTCTTGTCATGAAAGGGAACTTCACTGGTCCCCTGACCTCAGCACACACTCACCCTATGCTGGCACCCACCCTTTGGCTACAGATGGCCTCTGCCAGCACCTCCTTGGATGGTCCTCTAAGTATCTCAATAGTTCCATCCCCACCCCATTTCCAACTCGGGGACAAACGTTTTAATCTGGTTGACTTGTCATACCTGCCTCCCCTCCCCTAGCCTTCCCTTTCTCTCTCTCCTCTGCCCTCATAATGAAAAAAGAAAGAAACCAAGCCTCCTAGGTTTGAGCCAGAGAAAATATTGCACGTCTCCATTCCAGCCCTGGAGTTCGGTTCTACCCCCTGCTCTGCACTCACTTCGTTCCCGGGGACTGAGGCTTCTGGGCTGTGGCTTGCATCATTCCTGCCAGGCATTGTGCCAACACTCAAGAAGTTCGGGGTGATAAAGTTTTCAGATTTAGGGGCCGTCCTAAATCTGCATAATCCTGTATAAACCTATAGATTCATGTAGCCTTTCATAACGGGACCTAAAGGTACCAAGCAGGGACGAGAACAGAGGCATAGACAGGTGCTGGTGGCTCACGCCTGTAATCCCAGCTACTCAGGAGGTAGAAATCGGGAAGATCAGGGTACAAAGCCATCCCAGGCATATAGTTTAGTGAGACCCTATCTCAAAAATATCCATCACAAGAAAGGGCTGGTGGAATGACTGTACCCCCCAAAAAAGCAACACTTGGTACCCCATTGTGACACCACAGACTCACTTCTTCTCCCTAGTATTAGAAGAAAGAAAGAACCATCCACAGCAAAAAGAATGGGGGAGCCAGGCGTGGTGGCTCACGCCTATAATCCCAGCTACTTGAGAGGCAGAGGCAGGAGGATCACAAGTTCAAGGCCAGCCTGGGAAAGGTTACCGAGCGCCCGGCTCAAAAGCAGAATAGCAAACCAAAATGGTGATGGTTCCGGTGGTAGAGCGCTTGCAAGACCCTAGGCTCAGTCCCCAGGGAAATGAACAGGAGAAACTCGCTCTGAGGACCTGGCCTCACGCACATCTTGGCTTGCTCAGACAGTGGGGAGCCCAAGTGCTGAGCGGACAGTGCGGCAGCATCCATCCGTCAGGCCGCCTTTGTAACACTCCTGCCAGACTAGTACCCACCTCGCTTCTGAGCCACCCTGGGTGTGGAGGCGGGACGGCTCTTTCCCCCAGTCCCTGGGGGGGTGCCACATGGGCTGTGGCCAGGGTAACAAGTTCCCTGGTAGAAGGTTTTCATTCCCTTTAAGATTTACGAATACGTTCCACTTGCAACAATGTGACGTCTATATATTAAACTTTAAAATTCGACTCCGAACAGACCTGGTGTGATTCCATATGGGGTGATTTAGATGCTAAGCAAAAAAAAAAAGAACTTTTGCTAGCCAACTGCTAGTTGAATGCTAGTTATTCTGGAGACATTATCAGATTAAAATTCCTGCCAGGGAAGTTGTTAAAGTTGTCAGTTCCTTGGTTCCTGTAAAACAGGAAATCGTCACGTTAATGCTCATTAGAACGGTTGCCATCAAAGGAATAAGTAGATAACCACTCTTTCTTGCTTTTTCAGTATCCTGAAGTCCATGGAGTTTGCACCCTCGGAGGGAGCGGGGACGCAGGTACACCGTCTCACTTTGTTCCCAGGGTGCCTCGGTTGCTGCTGGTCACTGCTGGTCCCTGGGGCCTACTTCCCCCATCTCCACATTTCTGTGAGACCTCTTGCTTATGGCAGATGAGTTATTCCTCAGGAACATTTAGCCAAGTGAGAGCAAATGATCTAGCCAGGCGTGGTGGTGCACACCTGTAATCCCAGCACTGGGGAGGCTAAGGGAAAAGGATTCTGAGTTCCAAGCCAGCCTGGACTGCATAGCAATACCCTGCCTCAAAAAAACCAAAACAGAAATTTTAAAAAAGAAAGCAAATGATCCTTAATTAAACAGAGGCAAAAAGAAAAAACAGCTAGTGTTTTCCAAACTGCTAACTGCATTCTAATGAGATCGTGATTTCACTTGGGCAGTCCTAAGAACATGGAGGGTGACAATTCGTGGTAGATCGTGTGATTAGCATGCACGATGCCTTGGGCTCAATCCCAGCATCCAAAATAACTTCATGTTGGATTAACGATCAGCCAAAAATAGATTGGCCTAGGTATGGCAAGTGTGTACCACCTCAGTGGCAAAGGCCTGGGCAGGCAAGGTGACAGTGGTACCAGTCATCTGCAGGCTGAATGTAGTTTATGTCTTGGAGCTGAGTGTGGTGGCACAGGCCTGTAGTCTCAGCCACTAGGGAAGCTGAAGCAAGAGGATCTCCTTGAGCCCAGGAGTTTGAGTCCAGTCTGGGCAACATAGCAAGATTCTCTTTTCAAAAAAAAAAAGAAAAATTTAAATTGTGGGCTGGGTATGATGATTCAGGCTTGTAATCCCAGTCACATGGGAGCCAGGGATCAGGAAGATTGTAGTTCAAGGCCAGCCAGGCAAAAAGTGAGGCTGCCATCTCAACAAAAAAGCCAGGTGTGGTGGTGCACATCTGAAATCCCACATGTGAGGAAGACATAGGTAGAAGGATTGCAGTCCTAGGCTGGCAGGGACAAAAAGCGTGAAACCTTAACTGGAAAACAACCAAAGCAAAAAGGGCTGGAGGCATGACTCAAGTGAGTACCTGCCTAGCAAGCATGAAGTTCAAACGCCAGCATCACCAAAATAAAAATTTTAAGACTTTTAATCTTGAGTAGAATCAGGCTGCAGCTGCCCAGTCGACAACTGGCATTTTCCTGGCTGGCCAAAAAAAAAAAAAATGTTTCTGATTACTTTGTGACAGAGGTGGGTGGCTCGGCAGCCAGTGCCCTTGCCACACGGGGCCCAGGGTTCCACAGCAGCTGAACACCGCTAGGAAGGAGATGGCACCTCACCTGAAGTGGTTTCTTCCCAGATAAATCTCCAGGGGAAGAACGGGCTGGGGGCAGGTCTGGGCCCCAGGGCGCAGGTGGGTGGCCATCCAGCCTGAGGTGAGCCCCGCTGTGCCCCGTGTAGGACGCGGCCAAGCCCCTGGAGGTCCTCCTGCTAGAGAAGAACCGCTCCCTGCAGTCCGAGAACGCAGCTCTGCGCATCTCCAACAGCGACCTGAGCGGTAGGTGCACACGCGCGGCGTGCGGTGCTTGGGTCGCTTCCAGGGGTCCAGGAAGAGGCGGGTGACCGTGAGTCCGGGCTCGTGCATGGCAGGAGCGCCGCTGGTTGACTTTGACTAACCTTGATTGTTCGGGTGTCCTCCCCCTCCTCACTGCTCTGTCCCACCCACCCGTCCTGTGACAAGATGCGTGCGTGGCGCCGCGGTGAGTCTGCACAGGTCCCAGGAGGGACGCTCAGAGGATGTTGGCTTTCTGATCTTTTCCTTGTTGTGCTGCGACCAGGCCAGGGGCACATGCGAGCGTGGCCTCTCTTGAGGGGAGAGTGTCCCCAAGGGGCTGCTTAAGAGGTGTCGCCGGCCCTCCCAGGCTCAGTGGCGTTTTCGGTGGGGGCCGTGTGTCCCCCAGTCTGAACCTTTCTTTGCTTGTCCCAACGTGGTGATGTCTCTCACTGACTGCTTCTGGTTTGGCTGCTGGTAAAGCGTGTCAGGTGTCTGGGCTCCGATGATGTGACAGTCTCAAAGTGTGCGCGCCTTCGACCGGGGGATGCCGCGCGGTGCGTTCGCCGGCCTCCGAGCACGTGGTGTGAGCGGCCCCAAGTGAGGGTCCTAAGTGTCAGTGTTTGCTGCTCCTCGGGCAGGGCCCTCGGGTGGCAGCGCGAATGCTAGTAGCCCTACGCGAGGCCCACCCCCGTCACCTCTTCCCTGTGTGTGTCACCGGCGCCTTGTCACTCTTAGCTGTGCGACCCTGTGTCAGGGGCATTCTCCAGGCTGTAACGTACAAGAAAGGTGCAAACATGAATGCTTGTTTTGGGGGGCCTCGTTTGGCTAACTTGACAAATTCAATTGAAAAACAAACCAACACTTGCCTTATTGGCCCTGATCAAATCTGTACTTTTTTGGGGTTTTTGGTTTGTTTTTTTGTTTTTTGGGTTTTTTGGGGTTTTTTTTGGTTGTGTTCCCTTTTGTGGGGCAAACTTTGCATTCATTCTGGTCTTGGTTTTTTTTTCCCTTTTGAATCCCCCATAATGCATTCTGTTTGCCCTTCCTTGTAGGGTCAGCCAAGAGAAAAGGGAAAGACCAGCCTGAGAGTCGGCGCCCTGGACCCTTGCCGGCCTCCCCCACCCCGCTGCCCCGCAGCACGGGGGAACAGGCTTCCAATACTAACGGTACACTCCAGTTCCCGCCAGCGGGGCTAAGTCAAGATCTTTTCAACTCATCCCTGGCAAGCCCCAGCCTACCCCTGGCTTCTACAGGAAAATTTGCACTAAACTCTCTTCTTCAGCGACAGCTAATACAGTCCTTCTACTCCAAGGCCGTGCAGGAAACAGGAAGCACAAGCATGGTTTTTTCAACAGGTCCTTACAGCACAAACTCCATGTCCTCCCCAAGCCCAATACAGCCAAGCCCCGACGTCAATGGCATGGCACCATCTCCCAGCCAGTCTGAAAGCGCTGGGAGCGCCTCAGAGGGCGAAGAAATGGACACGGCCGAAATCGCCCGGCAGGTCAAAGAACAACTTATCAAGCACAATATCGGCCAACGGATTTTTGGCCATTACGTCTTGGGACTGTCACAAGGGTCCGTGAGTGAGATTCTGGCCAGGCCGAAGCCGTGGAATAAACTGACTATCCGTGGCAAGGAGCCATTCCACAAGATGAAACAGTTCCTCTCCGATGAGCAGAATATCCTGGCTCTTCGCAGCATCCAAGGCAGACAAAGAGGTGAGGGAGGCCTGGGCTGGGTGCCAGGCGGGTGAGCCCGTCACTGGCAGTGTGCGTGGGTGTGGGCGTGCGTGGGGGTGTCTGTGCGTGAGGCAACACATTCTTGCATCACATCAGGTAAAATGCGGTTCGAGTCTGTCATTTCCAGAGTTCAAGGGTCAGCGAAAACCCTTAGATATGGTGTTGGAAACTCACTCAGCTCCACCCATGTGTTGAAGCAGGGAGAATTGCGTTAGGCATGACATCCAGACCTGTTCAGCATCCCTGGGTCCAGTTGGCCTCACGCTGGAGGAGCCAGGCTCGATCCTCACACAGCTTGCTCTGAGGGCAAGCCTGTCAAAGCTGGCTTCTCTCCTCACCCTTCAGACAAACCCGTGTCCCAGGCCACCTTACCTCATGATTGTCCCATAAATGAATTTTATAGCACCATGAACAAAACCTATCTGCCTTGAAAAAAAAATAAAATACACGAACGTTTTATCCAAAAACCCTTTCTACCCCATCCTCCATAAAAAAGATTAAAAAGTCAGTTTCATCCCCACCATAAAGAATTCCTTCCCTCTCCAAGAACTGGGGCTCCCTGGATGAGGTGGACAGTGATACCAGCCACATTTGAAGCACCCTGAAATTCAGGACTCCAACAGGAAAGGGAGAGATTCCGGACAGCATCCATTTGCGCCAAGAACGCAGAGCGTTTCGTAGTGATGTTAACTGAAATTGAATGTCTCTGGATGATTAATGTGAGCTCCATCCGGGGACTGGTGGGTGATTTGCTTGGAGGCAACTCTCCTCCCTCTGACCCTCTCGGTGGTGATACGATAGTCCTCGACTTAGCTGTGTTCAGATCCCTTCTTGCAGTAGAGCCAGGCCTCTGCAGGCCAGTCAGCCACGGCAGGGCCTCTCCAAAGTTTCTAGCAGCTCCCAAGTTGTGCAGGAAGCCCTGAGCCCTTTCTCTAGCGACAGGCGGCTCAGATTTCATGTCACAAAGCCCACATTGTCGACACCACCATTCCCGATTGTTTTGTTCTTACCACACTTGTTTTTCAACAGAGAATCCAGGCCAGAGCCTGAACAGACTCTTTCAGGAAGTACCGAATCGAAGAACTGGGTCTGAAGGTATGTCCCAGGCAGGTGTCTTTGTTTGCAGTCAGTAAATAACTAGGAAGCAGCATGTCCTTAGCTGTGTTTGGGTTAAAACTATGCAGTGTGATTCTGGCCTGGAACCTCATGGAAAAACAGAGCTAGTAAGTATAAAACAAAGCACGGGTTCAAGGGCACCCAGCCCCTTCCTCCTGAGCTGCCTGCGCTCTGCTGAGCACAGAACAAGCAGAAGTGTACTGAGATTAGCCCCCCAAGCACCAGTCCCAGCCCTGCTCCTCTTCCAGTTCTGCTGCACCTGTTTCCCAGAAGCAGGTGACATGAGAGTAACGGTGGTGCTCTGAGGAAAATCAGGTGATCAAGTCAAACCAGACACTGCTGCTTCCTCGAACTTATAACTCTGACATACGGCAAAAGTCCCCTGCAGGGGACTTCCAAACAGGTCTGGTTCTCCTGTGGGCCTTGACAAGCCAACCCCCCACACTCCTTGGAGTTGTATCTTTAAAATGGGACTTTGTCCCCGTGGTAGCCTTGTTTTTAAATGGTTCGTGTGGCGCTTCCTATCGAGTATGGTAGTGACCCATTAAAAAACCTGGACGACTTCTAGAAGGAACTGTGGGGCTAGCCCCTGAGCCTCAGTAGCTTCAGGGTGGCCACACTGGAGGCCGCTCTGCAGAGCACCACTTGTGACCATAGGATGCATTCTTGTCCTTTAGGGCTCTCTGCAGGCTTCTGTTTGGTCCTGAATTCAAAAAGGCAGCATGTGGTCCTAGATGCAAAAAACAAGTTCAAGTTCAGCCTTGTGCCTGTTCATCGGCGCCTCCAAATGACCCATCCAGGACCAGCTCCGCCCTTTGCCCTCCTTCCCACAATTCTTGTTCAGGAAGAATAAATGTACAGAGCTCCCGTGTAGCGGCCCCCACCCCCTGAGTAGGAGATGCTGTTCAGTGACTCGGGAGAACGTGACCTTTGACCACAGCGTTGTTCTCCACACGGTCCTGACTGATTTTCCTCCCTGGTAGCAACCCGGGCGACCCAGCTCAGGTGAAAGTGAGAGTCTGTCCCTCCTGCAGGGTGTGTCCTTGCATATGCTGTGAGGTCCTGCACGCCACCCACGCAGGCCACTCCTGCCTCCCACGCCACCAGCCTCAGCTCGGGGCCCTGTGTCAGAATGATGTCTTCATGTGACAGTGTTTTTTGGGTTTTTTTGTTGTTGTTGTTTTTACTACAGGTCTGGGTTTGATGTCATCCTTTGGTTTCTCCCTGCAGGTAACATCACGACCCGGATCCGAGCCTCGGAGACCGGTTCCGATGAAGCAATCAAGTCTATCCTGGAACAGGCCAAGAGGGAACTCCAAGTGCAGAAAACCGGTATGGCTCCGACCTCTCAGCCGCCAAACGCAATTAAGAGAACTGTCATGAGTGTTCTCTGGTCAGCAGTAATTATAGTTAAACAAATGGTAGTGAGCATGTGTTCTCAAGAATTCAGGTGTGCTCAGAGAAGAGAGCGTATGTGTGACCTGGCTTGCAAAGTGACCTCTTTTCTTTTAACGTCGTTCCCTAGCAGCAACTCAAGAATGTCTTCCTAGCCTAGAGTCTCCTTAACTTAAATTAGCAAGTAGTTTGGTGTTTGTTGTCATACTTGGTCAAATGCAACTGAAAAAGAATGGCAGAAAATAAACCTTCAAGCCAAGGCGCGGTAGTGCACACCTATAATTCCAGCACTCAGGAGGCTGAGGCAGGAGGAAAGGATCATGAGTTTGAGGTCACCTGGGCCACATAGCCCCCTGCCAGAAAAAACCAAACTTTTAACAGCTGCATGACAGAGCTGCACGATTATAAGCGAGGAGCAGGCAGCCTTCATGGGTGATATCCCCTGTGCAACCCGCCTTGTTTTCTGGGAGGAGAGACCTTTCATTTCTGCTTTCCTCTGGTTGAGTATGAGTTGTTTAGAAACAACACCAGGCTGCAGACTCACGTCAGATCTGCAGAGGAGGACACCGAGCAAGCCCCCTTCCTGATGTCAGCACGGGGACACCCACCTGCTCTACCAGGAAGCCCTGGTCCTGCCCCATGAGCCTGGTTACAGGGCTCCTGCCTGTGCGGCAGTCTCCTTGCCTATTGACTTATCTCATACACACGCACGCACGCACACACACACACACACAGGGCTTATTCAGTGGGTGAGCTTGGTGCTCTGTTCTGGGGACCAGGCCTGGGCTAGACATTTCCCCTACCTCACCCCACTCAGTGACCCGACGACAGGTTTTTCAGAATCCTGGCATTTCTCTTCATCTAGCTCAGCTTCGGAGTTAAAATAATTTGCCTGAATCCATTAGATGGGTTTTAGCTGGACAAACCTGTTCTCCCAACCCTAGGCCCACCGCTCTTCCCTCTGTTGTCGCAGACATCATCCTTGATGACAGATGGAGCCTGCAGTACAATGTGCTTCTCGCTTTCACTGGCCAGAGTCGGGGTGAAGCACACTCTCCACCTCTGTGCAACTGGACTCCCAGAATCCTTAGCAGATCAGCCCTGGCAGTCCCACATCTAGGTGTGGTTCCTTAACCCGAGCCATGGTTCCTTTGTCTGCACTTGTGAGGGATGTGTGAGCTGGAGAAGGAAGGGCTCTGTCTTACGGAGAGCAGTGTGCCCGAGACACGCCAAAAGTAGTTACAATTTGAGGCTTTGCTTTTTTTTTTTAAGTATTCTTGAAAAAAAAGGAAGAACCAGTTTATAGGCATTCTTCCCCTGGACAGGAAGGTGTGTAATTTGAAGAGCACGGGACAGGGACAGGGAGGCCACAGACTCCCAAGAGCATCTGCACCTGGGTTCCCAGCCAGAACCACATTACAGCTACCTGAGGTGCGGTCTGGTGGGAAATGCCAAGCCAGCCCCACCACTGCTCCCTAGTGCGATGCGCCGGGGAGGGACCAGACAGGTGCATTTTAATTAGTCCTAGAGAGCAATTGATCTAACCCCTCAGCTGTCCTGCACCTAAGCTGGAACAGCCAAGGCCAGCAATGTCTTGTGAGTTCCCCGGACCCCTGGGTCAGGGACTCAATTTCCCAGCCTGTCCCCTCTCCCCCACACACATTGTGAGGCTCCCTGCTGCTGGCCCCAACATGGGTGTCCACCAGAAAAAAGTGTCTTGGCCCCTAGAAGACTCTGGCCATATTAATAGAAGTCACACTTCTGCCAAGAGAATTGTGGGATATGGCACAGAATTCTCCAGAAAAAGGAAGGCCAGCAGTGCATGTACCTGACTGTCTTCATGCATTTCCCCCTTGGTGACACTCTGTGTTAAGGTAGCCAGCTAGTGGCTGGGCCTGGTGGCACATGCCTTTAATCTCAACCATGTGGGAGGTGAATCACAGTCTGAGGCCAGCCTCGGGCAAAAGCAAGAGACCCTATCTGAGAAAAAAAAAAAAGTCAAACCAAAAGTAAAATAGCCATGTGCACTAAGGTGGTGGTGCACATGTGGCCCTGGCCTCACAGTCACGAGGTCCTGAGCCCAAGCCCTAGTACCGCAAAAAAGAGAGAGAGGTGGAGCCAGTGTGTGACAGGCCAGCAGGCCAGCAAGGTGCTGCCCGAACAAGATGCACAGGTGTTTGGATGTTGGGTTTGTGGGGAGGCACTGGGAAGATAGTGCAGTGTGGGTCCCCAGACAGCTCGCCCTGCATGGTGACTCAGGTAGAATAAGGCACTGGGCCAAGAGCTACTGTCTCACCCTGCGTTTGCTCCACACAGCCGAGCCGGCGCAGCCATCTTCCACAGCCAGCAGCGGGAATTCCGACGATGCCATCCGCTCCATCCTACAGCAGGCCCGCCGGGAAATGGAAGCCCAGCAAGCCGCCCTTGACCCTGCCTTAAAGCCAGCACCGCTGTCCCAGCCTGATCTCACCCTCCTCACCCCCAAGCTCCTGTCCGCCCCGCCCATGTCCGCCGTGTCCTCTTACTCTCCTCTCGCCATCTCCCTGAAGAAAACCCCTGTGGCCACCGAGGCCAGCACCTCAGCTCTGCCCAGCGCCCCAGCCCTCAAGAAGGAGGCCCAGGATGTGGCCGGGCTGGACCCACAGGGAGCAGCTGATGCTGCCCAGGGGGTCCTGAGGCAGGTCAAGAACGAGCTGAACCGCGGTGGCACGTGGAAGGACCCCTGGTGGAGCCCCATGCAGCCCGAGCGGAGGAACCTTTCCACCTCTGAAGAGACCAAGGCCGAAGAGTCTGCCAGCGGGAAGGAAAAGGCCAGCTCTTGCCAGCTGCGGGCAGAGCGCAGCCAGCTGCAGGGACCCTCGTCGTCGTCTGAGTACTGGAAAGAGTGGCCCAACGCTGAGTCCCCTTACTCCCAGAGCTCGGAGTTGAGTCTCACTGGAGCCAGCCGCAGCGACACACCCCAGAACAGCCCTCTGCCTTCCTCCCCAGTTGTGCCCATGGCGAAGCCCACCAAGCCCTCGGTCCCCCCGCTCACCCCCGAGCAGTACGAGATTTACATGTACCAGGAGGTGGACACCATCGAGCTCACCCGTCAGGTCAAGGAGAAGCTGGCCAAGAATGGCATTTGCCAAAGGATCTTCGGGGAGAAGGTGAGCGGACCCCATCCCTTCTTACGTCTTAGGACTAGTCCATCTGCAGGGTGTGACCATCACCCAGGGTACCGGGCCCGAGAGCATCCTGTGTCACCCACTCCCAACTGCCAGAGCTCAGCACCGAATGTCCCCAGCTCCTTGGCTCCGTGAGCTGAACCTGGAGGGCTGGCTGTGGGCTTGGCCTCCCACTTTGTCCCCTTCTTGGGGCCTCTGAGCTGCACTGGCACGTGGCTGGTCAAATCGCTATGACAGATAAGGAACCAAAGTTTGGGGAAGTACATTGTCTACCCTAAACCAGCAGGCAGCTGAGTCCAGGTCCAGCCTCTATGCCACGTGGAGCCAAGAGGCACCTCTGAAGGCTGTTTGGGCCCCAAAAGGTTAGAGCAGATCTGATCAAGCCAGAGAGAGGGACGACCAGCCAGCACAGAACCAAAGTGTACAGACAGCCACGCAAGGCTGGTGGTGCACATCTGTAATCCCAGCTATTCGGGAGGCAGAAGTAGGAGGACTGAGGTTCCAGGTCAGCCTGGGCAAAAGCTCGAGACCCCATCTGAAAAACAAAACAGAAAGGGCTCAGGGGGTAGAGCGCCTACCCTAAGTTCAAACCCCAGTAGAGAGAAGGAGCTATGTAAAACGTAATTGTTCCTTTCTCATCCAGCTCAGAGGGCGCCTGGGTACTGTCTGGCCAGAGGGGCAAAGTGCCTTACTCAGGAAGACCCTCCTACTGTACCTGGGACCCCAGCAGAATTGCCTATGGCTGCCGTGTTTTCCTGGTTCATGACAGTGTAATAGTTCATGGATGAGCCTATAAAATCTAAAATAAACACATGCTGTGATACCATTCTCGGTTAAGTCATGAATTGCTGAAAATAATGAGGCATACTGTCCTCCCCTGCAAGGTAGCACCTGGCTGGATCCCCGGTGACTCCCAGGGGCCCTGTGTGACACCTGCCCTCCTGCCTGCCCCGAGATGTGCATCTGCAGTCTACCGAACTATGAATCCTTACCATGATGGTTCATTTGTGAACCCTGTCCTGATGTCACACAAGGTGACAGGGACGCGTAGAGATGAGGAGGAGAATTTGAAGTCTCTTGAGATTTCTAGTTCAGTGTTGTAAAAATATCATTTGAGAACATTTAAATAGACATTTATGTTCGTGCCTTAAATGTAGCAGACTTAATAGCATTGAACTTGTTTGGCCCGTGAGTGCAGTTTATTCTTGAGAACTTTTCAGAGTGATGGGACACAGCCCCTAAATATCTCGGGGCTGCATCTGTGTCCTGGGCGGGGTGTTTGGGCCTATACATATGTATGGCCATATGTAAGCGACAGAAGACTCCCTGTGTACTCGCAGCTCAGCTCGTCTTCTGCTGACTGTTCCTCCCAGACTGGCTCCCCATCCCCACCGGCTCACCTCTGGCCCTGTTCTAAATGGCCCCCTAGTTGACATCAGCAAAAGATACTGGTCTGCTGGACACCAGTGGCTCACACCTGTAATCCCAGCTACTCAGGAGGCAGAGATCAGGAGGATCGCTGTTCAAAGCCAGCCGGGGCAAATAGTTCATGAGACCCTATCTCAAAAAAAAAACCACCTTCATAAAAAAAAAAAAAAAAAAAGGCTGGTGGAGTGCCTCAAGGTGTAGACCCTGAGTTCAAATCCCAGTCCTGCAAAAATAAATTGATAAAGGGACCGGCCTCCCGTTTCCCTCTGCATCCCCACTCCTGCCTCTTTGAGGGGTTCTGGGCCCAGTGCCCTAGCCCTCGTGCCACCAGGCAAAGAGCAGGATGCTTTGCAATCCTCGCTCTCCAGTCATCAGGATTGACCCAGACCCTGCCCGTCTCTCTCGCACCCCTCCTCTCCCTGAAGCTGCGACTCTAAAAATAGCTGGCTTAGAAAACCCTCCCCGCCTGTTTCCCCCAAGCTGGTGTTGCCTTCCCGGCTGTGTTCTGTGCTCACAGGTTGGCCCCAGCCATGCTTTGTGTCCCCTCAACTGTGCCACACCCCCACAACCTTGTGACGTCATGCTAAAGCCAGGCCACTGACGGCCATGTGTCTCTGCTCGCTACTGCAGGTGCTGGGCCTGTCCCAGGGCAGTGTCAGCGACATGCTATCACGACCAAAGCCATGGAGCAAACTGACCCAGAAAGGCCGAGAACCCTTCATCCGAATGCAGCTCTGGCTGAACGGCGAGCTGGGCCAGGGCGTGCTGCCCGTGCAAGGACAGCAACAAGGGCCAGGTGAGGGCGGACGCCCCAGGAGGGGCTGGGAAAGAAGGACCGGGGGGCGGCGGGGAGGGAGCACTATCTTGGCAAGGGCAGCCCCACCTGGCCTGGCTGCACACTGAGCTGTCAGCTGCCCTGGGCAGGGGAAGAACAGCCCCCTTCCTTCCAAAACTGTTGCCAGGGGACTAAGTTGAGTTTTCAGGAGCGAGAAGACTGTGCCTGACTAATTTTATAAGCAGCAGAAAATGAGATACCAATTAAGGAAATGTTGTTTGTATATAAATATAGGTAAAAGTCAAGTAGCTAAATCAGAGAGTTGGAAAAGAAATCCAGCCAGAGGCACAGAAGTGAAAGTGTCACAGACGATAGCTTCCAGCTGCTCCCTGCCCAGGGTCCTGGCACTTTTCAGGCCTGCACAGCCCTCATCCCATCCCAGGGTCCCCAGCCCTCGCTGTGAGAAGCAGGATGCCTTGTAGGCTTCCTGCCTTGCCCAGGTAGGAGGCTCCAAGCCCTGTGTCACTTCCTCGTGTAACTGAGTCTTTTTCCTTCTAGTCCTCCACTCGGTGACATCACTGCAGGACCCTCTCCAGCAGCAGGGCTGCGTGAGCTCAGGTTAGTAACCTGCTTCCGCGAGTTCATGTGAAGTACCTTACTGCCTTGTGCGGCTTCCTCCTCTGGGGACTCTGAAATGTCCTTGAGACCCACTCAACACATGTGGAGCAATGGTTGTCCCTTTTCATTACTGTATAGTGTTCCACAGCAGATGGGTGCACCACAGTTTGTGGTCCTCCTCACTTACTGAGGGACATCGTGGTTATTTCTAGGTTTTGCCTATTATAAAAATAAGTCGTTGTGAAGAGTAAGAAGAAAGTCTGGGCACTGTGGCTCATGCCTGTAATCCAAGCTACTTGAGAGGAGGAGATGGGAGAAACACAGTTTGAGGCTAGCCCAGGCAAAAAGTTAGTGAAACCCCATCTCAAAAAACAAGCTGGGCAGTGGTGATGTGCATCTATAATCCCAGCTATGTGGGAGGCACAGGTTGGAGCAGGGGAGGGTGGCTCAAGTGGGAGAGCACAAAACTCCAGTAACTTACCCCACCAAAAAAAACAAGGTATAGAAAAACATGAGCAGGCATCAGCGACTCACGCCTGTAATCCCGGCTACCTGGGAGACTGATCAGGAGGATCAGGGTTTGAGGCCAGCCTGGGCAAATAGTCCTTGACACCTCATCTTCAAAATAACCAGAGCAAAATGGACTGGAGGAATGGTGTGCAAGCTAGGCCCTCCCAGGCTTACTGTGTAAGGGCCAGCCAGAGCCACCGTTGAGCAGAGATTCTTGTGACTTGTCAAACACTCCATCTCTTCATCTGTCTCCTGATCGCTAGGTGTGAAGCCCTGTGCTCAGGTTGGGGCTAAGTAAGGAACCAGGCCCACACTCAGGGGCTTGAGTCTGACAGGAGAGGACAAGGCACAGGCCTCGCTGTCCCAACAGGGGCATGGGTCCCTCTGCTGGACCAGTCAGCCAGTAAGAAGATGACAGAGTCTGGAACGTGAGGAATGGGGTGACCAGGACAGAAGAGCCCCTGGGAGCAGGTGGCAGAGGCCACCTGCTGTCAGCCTTGGAAAGCCCCTAGGTCTCAGAGGTCTCCAGAGGTCTTGTTACCTCTACCCTGAGGACCCTGGCTGGCCGTGGTGCCTGGGTGCCACTGCTCCAGGGACCCTGCCACCTGCTCCCTGTCACCCTGAGCCCACAGATGTAACCAGACTTTTCTCTCCTAGCTTTTAGGACCAGCCAACATCGTGAGGTGTTCTTTTTTCTTTCTTTCTTTTTCTAAACATGTTGATTAGTCTTTGATGCGTTGAAAACACAAACAAAGCGAAGCAAGGAGCCCGCAGCCTGCCAGCTTGCTGGAAGGTTTATGAGGGGACACATGTGCAGTGAGGGGAACAGCTGGGCGGCCTAGCCTCGGCTGCTGCTGCTACAAAATCCCAACCCCCACCTCCACATAGACACAAATGAGCACAGTACACCAGCACTGTCAGTGAAGATTTTGGGGAGTTTTAGCTGTTCTAATCTGGTTTTGTCCAACATGGGGACAGAAGGCTGAGCCCCACCCACACTGTGGGTTTTCTTGGCTGGACATCCAAATGGAGCAGCCATCCACCTGAGTAGGATTTGGGTGTGTGGTCCCTTCTTCCTTCATTTCTGGGATGGCCAGTTGAATAACAAGTCCCAAAGACCTGAAGTATCAGCTCAGCTTGAGGATGCAGGCGGGACGATCCAGATGTTGTCACTGGTGCCAGGGGTTTGCGGATGTTTGCATGGAAAATGGCCTGGCCTCCCGCTCTAACGGGAAGTTGACTGCCCTTGAACTGAGAGCGTTTGCTGCCCATCAGAGGCTGGGCTGAACTTGGCAGGATGAGGCTGGCGCTGTGTACCCCTGAATAAGACAGGAAGTCTTCCCCCTGTCCAGTCCTCTGTGGATCCGTACCAAAGCCTCTGTGTCCCAACTTGTCCTCAGAGGATGTGCGTTTTCTACCACAACTGATAACCAGCACCGTGTTTCACACAGTGGTCACGTTTCCTACCCAGGGAAGACACACTGGACTCCTACAAGGAATGCAAGTGTTATTTGTAAAATATCAAATTACTTTATAGAATAAAGTCATTTACAACTCTGGGGGAGTCTGCAGATTGGAGGGGAAGCGGGGAGACATTGAGCTTGTGGATAAAACTGAACACAGCAGCACTCAACAGAGGGTTTTCCGCATAGGCGACAAGTGGCCCTCCCCGCGTCACCCCAGTGAGAGGCCCCAACACTTCTGCCATCAGGCAGCGATAGAGAAGTCCCCAGGAGAAGCTATAATTACGATGAGAGGAGAAAAAAGATGAGAAAAAAAATATTTCTTATATTGTAAGAAGATAAAAAAGTGTTTTATGTCACGGTGGCAGTTTTCCTTGTGTGACATATCTTTATCAGTTGTCATTGTTTCAAGAAGGTTTCTGAAAAGTAAGCTAGCTATATGGAATTTAGATTCAAAGGTGGAATTATTTTGTAGTGGTGGTGGCGGCAGTAAATCCCTGGGATGAGTGACTATAGAAGGTTCTAGAATCTTCTTTGGCAGCTCTTTTAAAAAGAGAGCTTTGCTCCCGCTGAAGGCAGAGGAAGGAAACCTCTGGTCCTGAGTCCCATCCCAGAGGCCCTCGCAGGCCATTAGTGACTTGTGGCTTTTTCCTGGAGGCTGTTGAGACCTCACCAAAGAGGAAGGCGAGCAGTGGGTGCCTTGCCAACCGCATGACACTTTGAAAGAGGGTGAGGGTCAAAGGACAAGCGTTGAGACCAGCTGCTGGTCACTCACGTCCGATGAGTCTGAATCCTCTACACACTGCTGGCTTCTTTCAAAGCCCCAGTGCCTTGGGGGCAGGTGGGTGCGCTCTGATGCAGTGCAGCTTTATTTGACGACGCAGTCACAGGTGACCCTCAGGGACGCATCCCGACTCTCTTCATGTGTCTCCCACCCCTGTGTCCTCACTCTGTGGTGGTCTCATCCTGCTCAGCAGTGGCAGTATGCAGGGAGAAAAGATGGGACTGACGAAGACCTGTTTTCTCAGAATACAGCCTGCTTGTCCAGGAGTGGCTTTTACCGTGTGTGTGTGTGTGTGAGAGTGTGTCTGTCTGTGTGTGTGTGTGTGTGTGTGTGTGTGTGTGTGTGTGTGTGAGTGACTGGGGTTTGAACCCAGGGTCTCTAACTTTTTGCCCAGGCTTGCCTTGGACTGTGATCCTTCTGTCTTCACTTCCCAAGTATCTGAGATTATAGTTGTATGCCACTGTGCCCAGCTCAGGATTGTTATTTAAAGGATAACATATGTTGAGCTATAACGAAGGTAGAGGCGTGGGATCACAGATACAGAGGTACACAGATAGAGGTATCTGCGCAGGTACACAGATAGGTAGATAGATGTGACCGACTAACTGTTGCAGTCTTTGATTCTTTCTCTTTCCTTAAAACTCATTTATGAGGTTTGTTTGTTTGTTTTTTGTTTTTTTGGTTTGGTTTGGTTTGGGTTTTTTGTTTTGTTTTGTTTTGTTTTGTTGGTGGTATTGGGGTTTGAACTCAAGACCTACACCTTGAACTACTCCACCAGCTCTTTTTTTGTGATGGGTTCTTTTGAGATAGGGTCTCGCCAACTATTTCCCTGGGCTGGCTTCAAACCATGATCCTCCTGATCTCTGCCTCCTGAGTAGCTGAGATTATAGGCGTGAGCCACCGGTGTCTGGCAGTTTATGACTTCTATGCGTGGTTTCTTGGTGTGATTGTTCTTTTGGCTCTTAGGGGAGGAGAGAAGACAGCTCTGAAGCCGGGGAGGAGAAGGGAGGGAAAGAAACCCTCCTGGGTGTGATCTTATTCACACTCATTGCTCTGTGGACAAGTGGCTAACAGCAGAGTGGCCTGTGCCCTCTCTTAGGAACTTGTTGACACGGGAGCATTTTGAGACTGGCGCTAATGCCACGTTGCATCTTTCACATCAACTTCTGGTGTGTCCAGGCAAGACACCCAGGCCCCTCAGATGAGGCACAAAACACCCAGTTGTTTCCCAGCACAGTAGTCAGGAGCATCGGGTTCCAAGTCTTGTCCGCCCTTGGAGAGCCCTAGGGCCCCGTGTCACTGCTGTCTGTCAGCAGAGTGCCAGCTGTCCCTGGGAGGAGACAGCTGTTGCAAGCCAGCTGTGCCATGGGTGGTCCAAGGTCGCCGCTTCCCGCCATGACACCCACGGGCCTGCGGGAGTTATGCCGTCACCAACATGCCTTTATAACTGGCACCTTGGCTCTTAGTTGGGACCCACCAGGTGGCCGGGAAGCCATGTCCAGGGACTTAGCGTCTTGAGCTCTGCACTGGGTTTTGACTGCGGTGTCTGTCCTTTACTTAAGTGGTCAGTTAACTGACCTACAGGACATTTGGATGGGGTGTCAATGGGAACAGAAAATCTGGTGGTACTGGCAAGAGCAGGCAGATATGTTCACGAACACCTTAGATGGATGCTAGCACTTTCTCTCGGATAGAAACTATCAGTGACTACTGGCTAACACTTCAGCCCTGTTTGTGATCATAAGAGATCACAAGATTTATTTGTGATTGTACACAAGCCCATGTGGACTAGAAAGTGCCCTCCCCAACAGGTGGCCACCACGTCATGGCCTGGGTGTCAACTGGTGGCGCCCCTCACTGGCTGAGAGCATGGTAGCCTGTTTGCGTCCTTCCTTCTAGGATGTAGCCTGGGTTGGGACAAGGTGGTGTATTAAAGGGATTCTCCACTCTTGAGTCCAGAAAAGATGGGTGTCTGGATTTGGGCACAAGCTACCTGCCTGGTGGCTGTGATGTGGCACTGATGAGAGAACCTGGAACTGGGGCCAGGCTGGGAAGGGTGACAGGTCCAGGAGGAAAACATTCCAGGTGGAGGGACTGTGGGGGTACAAAGGTTCAGAGATGGGGGGTGGGTATTGTCTATTCAAAACTGAGGAGCCCCAATTCAGAGCCTGTTCTTGCCAGGTGACAGGGGTACAGTGGGTGGTGGGAGAGTAGAAGAATGGCGACATTGCTGCCCTGAGGTT